GATAATGATTTCTTGTTTTCCATTACTGTATCCCTTGCTGCCAATCTCAAGAGGTATGGATGCATGAAAACATGTTTAACCCCGCCGCATTTTTGCGCCTGTCCCAAGTCAGGAGCCTCTGGCCTTTGTTAGTCTTGTATGTTTTTTAATTTTAGTTCATTTATATGTTTTGGAGTTTAGTGTGACGTCCATTTTCACAACTAGCACACAATTTTATTTAGGAGCCAGCTGAAGACCACCTACGGGTGCGGGATTTTCTCGCTGCATTAAGACCCATTGGTGGCCTTCGGCTGTTGTCTGCTCTTTGGTCGGGTTGTTGTCTCTTTGAAATATTCCCCATTTCCATTCTCAATCCTATGGAAGTGTCCTTTGTATTTTCATCATTCAGACCATCAAAATAGGAAAACTGAATAACCTAATCGAACTAGAATATACAAGAACAATAATATAAAACTTTAATGAATTTTAAACATATTTACATAACATTTAAGCGCTATGCACGTTGAAGAAAATGATGAATTATTACACCTTTACTTCTTTCTGTAAAATGTTGTATTAAATGACACAAGAAAACAAATAAATTAGTTTAATCTGATTTCTTATATATTGTAAATTACTTCTTTTCTATAAATTTTTCATTTTCTATAAATATCAGTTTTTAGCTCCCTTTAAACGTGTGTTTTGTTATGAATTAGGCCGTAAGTTTTCTCAATTGAATTGTTAAATATTTTTCATGTCAAGACCTTTTATAGCCGACCAAACAGTATGGATTTTTCATTGTTGAAGGCCGTATGGTTGCCTATAATTGCTTACATCCACTTCATTTGAACTTTGGTGGATAGTTGTCTCATTGGCAATCATACCACATCTCCTTATTTTTATACTATTTGTGTAATATTTAAAACACAAACAACATAGAGTTGTAAAAAATGATAGAACTGGTATTAACACACGGACTGTAAATTTTAAAAAAAGATGGAAAACATTTTAGCTTCCCTTTCTTTGTATTTATGATTCTGTCTTATTGTTGTTGCTGATAAAAAACCAAACCGACCGTGCGAGACTCTCATGGGTAGTCAAGGTCGCTAAAAAAACCTGGGAGTAGTATAAACCAAAAATTAAGTATATATATAAAGATAAGAAGATGTGGTATGATTGCCAATGAGACAACTATCCACCAGAGAACCTACAAATGTCGTAGGTTAGCAACTATAATAGGTCAATGTGTGGCCTTCAAAAATGAGCTAAACCCTAATCGCATAGCAAGCTATCAAAGGCCCCGAAATGACAAATGTAAACCAATTCAAACAAGACAACTAATGGTCAGAGTTATGTACAAAATAATAAACAAAAAACAAATATGACATACAGCAACAAACGACAACTATTGAATTACAGGCTTCTGACTTGGGACAGGCATAATGTGTCGGGGTTGAACATTTCTGTGGGCGCGCAAATCCTCTTCCTTACCTGAGACAGTGGTGTAAAAGCACAGAATAAGAACAAACTATAAATATCAGTTGAAAAGGGCTGAACTCATTCTAAAGAAGTTCATTGGATGATACCAGACCGTTTTTAAAGTATTCTGAAGTATAACGTTTTATTTTTACGCAGTCTAGGCGGAATGAGGAAGTTAGTCAACTATGTGTTTATTTGCTAATGTTTTATGTTGTCATTGTTGAAAGTTTGAATAGTTATAAATCTTATCTATCTACATCCTAATCAAGCTGTGTATCTTGTTTTTATTTGTTGACTGTTATTGTCAGTCGTAACACAACAAATGATTTGAAATTTTAAACACATTTTATTATTATGGTTATATTATTTATAATTACAATTCTTTTAGGTCTAGTTCTGGCGTACTAGAAATTAAAAAAAAAATCATAAAAGCTTGTTCAACTGCTGGAACCTCTTCGCTGGACCATATATTTCTTTTATTTATTTATTTTTTCACAAAAAGTTTAAATTGTGAACTCTGAGGTCAGTTGTATATACGATCAGGATGTTAGAAGGTTGTCTCGTTGGCCTTATAGTAAGCCTCGCTTTTCGTCCTGTTTCTAAAGCTCGTTCAAATAAGTTTTATATTTTCCGACAATGTACATATATTGTATACTTATCTGACTTATAAATCGTATTTATTACTTCTCTTCCTATATTTTTTTAATTTATCTATAAATAACAGTTTCAGCTTTATTAAGGTATTTCTAAATGTGTTACATGTTAAAAAAACTCATCATAAAGTTGTAAAACATCAAAGCACTGTAACACTCATACTTTAAATTTAAAAAAAAAGATGGAAAACATATTAGCTTCTTTCTCGAATACATTTTTGATTTTCTCTCTTTTTTTCTTTTTTTTTTTAGATAAAGCTAAAAATTAAGTTTCGACACAGTTTTGATTAAGTTTTTTTTCGATTGCACTGAAAACAATTACTTTGCATTTTTTATCATTAACTTCACATCTCTTTGTTTAATATGAACAATAAGCAGGATAAACAGACAATCATCAACTTCCTTTTTCTCTCTCTTTCTTCTCAATAATAATAAGAGGATGATACAACACTTATCTTTAGTCATTTTCGATGCGATAAAATAAGCGTTTTTTTTTGTTTTTTTGTTTTTTTGTATTTTGTTTTTTGTGGAAACAGGGGGAGGGGGGGGGGGGTGCAGTAAGGAATGCAAATGACAAAATGAAACACCAATTCTCTAAAGGTCAAAGGACAAGGATGCACGTAATATCACTACAGATTACCTTATATCCTCCCACAAAGTATATCTTCAAATGACATATTATGTTTACGTATGCGTCGTTAGAATATATCATCTCATCTCAGAGAAGTTGAGAAACCAAATGTAGTAACAATCATATATAACGAAGTATGTATCCTTGCGTCGCTTCTAAATTCCAAATTGTACCATCTGTACATGTTATTCAGGACGGACATATTTATGCAGAGTTAAATAAAATGTTGACTCTTGATATACTATATACATGTATATATATAAAAATTATACTACTAAAATAACGAGGTCCAATTTGTTAGCCGACATGACGTAAAAACGACGAATCAAATAATTCAACTGTATATATAACTAAAATAGGACAATGGTGTTGTTTAAAAATTACACCATTCAATGCCCTTTTGTTTTCCACATAATTAATATTACCAATAATTAACAATTTCCGGGTCGAATCCGATACTGATACCAATAGTATATGTCACATGTAGTTTCTCCCAGTAGTTGTTTAACATCTGATACACTATAGTACACTATTTAACAACTTTAAAAAAAAAGTCTGTTTTCTTCCACTTCAATGCCACTGTTAATTTTGTTTAATTAGTTAAAATAAAAATTAGATTAAGTTTATTGTAGTAGGACAACCAGTATGGGTTCAAACAGAAAGATTTGAAAGCAAAGAAAACTGCATGTGCACCTTATTATCAGCATGACTTTATCAGATAACAATACGAATACATGTTCTAAATACGTATAAGTATATACAACGAATAAAACGAGAAGATATAGGGTAACGTCCATAAGACAACAACTAAACTACAAAAAATAATTAAAATAAATGTATGGGACCAATATACAGACTTTTACAGTCATAGACATGTGCTTTTACAATATGCCAACCAGTTTTATTATTTATCTGTAGATCTCAACCTTCCCGTTTTAATAACCTAGATCAGTATATAAACAAAATGTGCATTGATATTTTATTTGTCTTTTTATGTTGTAATGTTACACTACTGTTTCACGTTAAGGTGAAGGTTGGCGCCTGTTAAAACGTTTAAACCCGATGCATTTTTATGCACCTGTCCTAAGTCAGGAGCCTGTTGTTCAGTGGTTGTCGTTTTTTGGTGTGGTTCATAAGTGTTTCTCATTTTTTATATAGATTAGAACGTAGGTTTCCCTGTTTGAACTGTTTTACACTAATCATTTTGGTGCCCTTTGTAGCTTGCTGTTTGGTGTGAGCCAAGGCTCCGTGTAGAAGGCCGTACTTTGACCTATAATTGTTAACTTTTTATACATTGTGACCTGGATTGAGAGTTGTCTCATTGACACTCATACCACATCTTCTTATTTATATTAAAGAATATACAAAATAAAAACCAGTACAATACATGTACAATTTTAGCAGCAAACCTAAAGTGTTTAAATGTTGGAGAAAGTTGTTTTCTGTCAGTTGTTAAACAAAGGAGACAAAGTACCCAGTGATATGTCAAAATGTTAGAGTGACATTCAGATGTACACCATTGGTATAACAGTGTGCAAACTGAAAATGCAAATTGATAGGACTTCTAGCATTGCAGTTTCTGTCTACCATGGAATGAGGGTATGGGTGGGGTTTACATAATAGAAAATAACGCCAAAAAAATATCGAATAGAAAATTATGAGGTGCTAAAATATAAAGAATGGAGAACAATGGCTGCAAACTATTAAGAATAATATAATAATGGGCAAACAATATACAGATTAGCTGAAAGAAGGGCTTAAAAAAATTGAGAATACAGGAATGAATATCCCCTCCCCTTCAAGACCCTCATAGTATGTGTTTTATCAAGTTACTCGCTGAAAGTCAATGATTATTCCAAATACATTTAATGATTCACCAGATCGTATATCTTGAGCCATATCAAAATCATTACGTCAACGAAAACCATACTCCCTTATCATATTTCTGTTGTGCCTTGGTCGTAAATATTTGTTTTGTAGGAAGGTGATAGCAATATTTAAGTTTTGGCAATGTAGTTCCTGTTGAAAGTTTTAAATTATCATTTAATAATCACCATACGGAAGCTTCGAAACTGTTTCTCCTGTATGATCCATGGCTGTTATCTTTTTATTAGTATTTTATTATTTCTAATTAAATTTCATTTTTAGTGATGATGAGTGTCCATAAACCTGTCTGAACTATTTCTCCTATAATTTCAGAATTGTGCTGATTTATTTTCTAATTAGCTTATAGTATTCATTATTTTCATTCTCTTCAGTTTGTGTGTATGGGGTTACAATCACGAAGGGATCGACGATTGCGACGACAAGCGTGACATCGACGTCAAATATCGTCACTTCCGCTTCAGAGTACACGACAATTACCGTAACCTCCACAACAAACAACCAAACTCTAACATCTATGAATCCTACAGCAAATTATACAACAAACGATACTACCACCGTTTTAAATCAAAGCGTAACAAACTCTACAATCACAACTTCTGATACAGATACAGTTACCATGGATACGACAGCTTCAACGATGCCCTATAACACAACACCAGAGACAACGATAGAAGTAACCACGCCGGTTAACTCAACCATAAATACAAATGACAATATGACAGCCGTCATTAATGCCACAACTACTTATATGCACGATAATGTGACTACCTTCATTAATGCCACAACTACTCAAATCATAACCAGTTCTTCAAATGGTATGTATGATGTATTTTTATAAACTGTACTTGGAACTTAACTACATATGCATATCCATTATGATATGAACATTTGAAAATATGCCACATTAGGGTTTTGACATAAATGTCGTAGTTCACTGAACAGTAAAATGAGAGAGCAGGTGGGGCGTGGTGTCCTATAGACACACATAATTCGTTTTAAATTTATTTTACTTTTATATATATACGTCAAAAATGATACAACAACCATGACAACTGATACTCCAAAAAGTACGTTAAAATTGTTATAAAAACAAAACTTCAATAATCATTAAAACACTTCGAACAACTGGTATTGTATACCAATAGATTGATGTAGAATAGCGACGAACCGATAGAAATCATGAACATCACATATAGAGTATTGCATGAACAATCGTATAATTTAGGGAAATAAATCAAATGAATCCATTCAAAGGAATATATGAACAAATGCGAGAATTAACAAAAACTACCAAGCCTCGAGGTATTTCAAATCTTCAATGATCATATACGTTGAACTTGGGTAACCTTCAGAAAAATCCCCAAACGATCGCTGTGGCAACATAGAGGCGAATGATTGCCCAAGTGATGTCCCGACTATGAAAATGAAGTTTCAACACCTTCCACCTATATATGTTTATCCATGTCTTGAAATTATTTACAACAGAGACAGGCTCATTCTCTCTGATAAACATAGACCATTCAGGGACAGTCAATCGAAGTCATCTACTGAATATTTTTATGAACAAGTAGGGAGATAAGTAAAATATAAACGATCTTTTGTTTTCCTATTTAACGACTTCCTTGACAGACACTTCGGCTTAAATTAACTAGGAATCTAATGGACAACGTCCCGTGGCCGTGCGTGTATTCATGTGTCTATTGGCTGTGTATCTTCACATCCTTCGAAGTCATGTACATCCATACGTCCCCTAGTCGTGTATTTATACACCCTTTGACTGTGTAGCTATATTTATCTTACCTCCTATAGATTTATAGAGATATGATTGGTTAAAGGACTACACGTGGTGACTATGTATATTTGATATAGGGTGTCCTAAAAATTATAGGGTTAGCAACCATACATGGTTAGTTACCATATGGGGTTATTAAGGAGTTACTTCTCTTTCAAAACAAAAATGATGCCACAACCCTTCATAAAAACAACACGGTGTTGAGGAAAAATCTGAAAGGATTCAACAGACGAATAAATTGATGATGAAAGGTTGAAATAAGTTCATAAAACATAATTAAAGCTAACAAGTTGTTATTGTTGGCATGACGGGTTTACTTCCATTTCAAGTGTGTACACGGTGTGCTAGTTCACTAACACACCATGTAACTAATAATACATCCCACAACTATATAAAAAGTACAAAAAATAAGCTATCTATATCCTATCATTTTATCTTTCATGTTTCCATTGTATATTTTCTATAGAAACATCCATTCATTATGATTTTTTTTACCTGAACCAGACCATTCTGTGGTCAGTAATTATAGTGGTGGTCAGTTGGTTGATATCTTTCTTATAATTAGTTAAACCAGGAAATTTCAAACGGCGACATAGGGGAAGGTCTGATCTACCTTAAAAGACGATTTTGACCAACTTTATCTGTTTTATCTATTATCTGGAAAACCATTTATAATATTAATAACAAACAAACCGAAACTGTAATCTACAAAAAATATTTAATCAAGAAAGATTAAACAGATAATCACCCGACTGAAACTGTCATTTGACTATTATTGCCTTATTCCCCATTGTTTGCATGTTTGCTTTGAAACTACTGAACCAATGGAAAGTTGAAAAATGTGTGTCTAATCCATTTGTCCTTTTGAACAATAAAATATATATTTATACTACTGAACCAATACTTACAAACTGCTTGGAAAGTTGAGATTTGATGAAAACTCGTCACATTTTCAGCATTAAGGCAGAATATGATGCTGTTTCAGAGAATTTATACGAAATGAAAGCAATTGACAGTCAACAATCTGATCTTTTAGTGGGATGAAGACAAACAATTTGATTCCATCATATGCGTTCATTTTGTATGAGATAATACCCAACCAATATTAAAAGTCCATTGACATATCAATTTACCATATATTTAGTACTAAATACAGCAATTTTGTATATCTAATAAAGGTTCTTTTCTCCAGTCTGTATCATTTACACTGTATCGCATACCCCATATCGCATAGCTAAACCCGTATCGCATACCCTGTATCGCATACCGGGCGTGACGTCATATATCAAAGTTGGACATATGACGTCCAGTTGCCGTATTTCCTTGCATGATACGAAATGTAACAACATTTAATTACAATTTCAGAAAAATACTTGCAAGAGAAAATGGGTGATTTATGACAATGATTTAGACAAGAAATTTGGAAAATGATCAAAATACCCATTCTCTCTACACTATTATTTTGTTTAAAGTACATGTACATGTGTTAACTTTGATGGAATCGAACTGAGGTAATAAAAGTATGGAATTTATAATTTACTATTCTATAGCTTTTGTATTAATTAGCGATACGTCATGTATGTACATTGATACTTTTCCTTAATAGCAATGTTTACTTCAAAATCTCTATTATTTTGAATAGTTCAAATATTAAAAGTGATTTAAACAAATTAAATGTACATGTATCATTATGAGGTTCCAAATGAGAAAAAGCAAATTTATAAATTACATGCATCCAAAAGAGGGTAGGAAAGAAATTTTGACACCAAATACTTGCAAAACAAAATAAGTAATTTATGCCAGATAAGGACTAGAAATTCTAATGATGTATTATTTTAACAAATGACTAGATTTCTCTTTTAATACAAGTATTAAACCTCATGTAGTTGTTATTATTTTGTTTTTGCTTTAGAATATGATCCTTGATGTGATATTGTTGTTTTGTTTATTAGATCAAAAATAAAATGTTGTTATAATAATATTTATTCATAAGTATCAACATTATAGTTTCATTTGTGAAAATTCCAACTCCAATATTTAGTTCGAAGTATGCACATATTTAGTGCAGCAAAATTGGTACCCTGTCGAATATGTGGATAGATATAAGAAGATGTGGTATGAGTGCCAATGAGACAACTCTCCATCCAAGTCACAATTTGTAAAAGTAAAAGTTCATATAAAAATTTGCGAAAGCAAATTTTCAGATCTAACATTGTTGGGCTGATGTTTAGACGAGTTGTATATTCAGAATGTACACAGCCATGTATCACCATCACTGCTGGTGATCCGATGGATAAATCTGGTGTAGAGTTGTCACTGGTTCAGACGTACTTATATATATATATATATATAACCAGTCTAAAAGGGTACAACATCACCAAAAAATGACAATAAACGAACAAATGTAACTATAAATATTTCGGATAACAGATATCCTTCATCAGTATGAGCACGATGTAAAATGAATCAGATCAATCTATTCTGATTATTAAATCTTGAATTCTATACAATAAAAAAGTGAAACAGTTTCACCCGAACATCATATGTAGAGACGCTAATAAATTTTTTAAATTTCCCAAAAACGACTCAAAGACATGCCTAAAATGAACTAGTTCCGAGTTTAGTTCCAAAATTATTACTGCGTTACAAACCATGCACGATGACGGTCACATAGATGAGGATACAATCGGATATTTAAAACCAGAGAACGCCAAGCCTGGTCGATTGTATCTTCTTCCCAAAATACACAAGGTTAACAACCCTGGTAGACCCATTGTATCCGCAAACGGCCACCCGACTGAGAAAATTCGGAATTCGTAGACTTTCATTTAAGATCTCATGTAGAAAATCTTCCTTCTCACATTCAAGACACAACAGATTATCTTCGTAAAATGGAATCCATGAACCCTCTTCCTCCGGAAACCCTCCTTGTCACTTTAGATGTCACCTCATTGTATACCAACATACCTCATGATGACGGAATACAATCGTGTAAGGAAATATGGGACTCTCGCAACACCTTAGAACCACCTACCGAATGTTTAGTCCAGCTGCTCACTCTGGTTCTGAAATGCAACAATTTCACCTTTGATGGTGAACATTACCTTCAGATAAACGGGACAGCGATGGGGACGAAAATGGCACCGTCATACGCCAATATTTTCATGGGAAAATTAGAGAAACAAATTATTTCAACATCTTTATCCAAACCTCTGTCTTGGTTCCGTTTGATCGATGATGTTGACATGAAATGGATTGAATCCCAACAAAAATTGGATGATTTTATCAGACATGCAAACAACGCGCACCAGTCAATTAAATTTACATATGAAATTTCCGACTCCAAAATATCTTTCTTAGACACTACTACATCTATTAAGGACGGTGTCATATCAACAGATCTCTACTATAAACCTACAGATAAACATCAATACCTTTCTCCCCAAAGCTGTCACCCCAAACACTGTACAAAAAGTATCCCGTACAGTCAAGCTCTCAGAGTAAAGCGGACTTGCTCCTCTGAGGAGGCCGTCACTAAACGGTTACAGGAACTTCGCGGTTTTTTGACCAAACGAGGTTATAAGAAATTGGACATAGATAAGGGATTTGCGCGTGCTAATAACAACAGCCGCAATGACCTATTACAGTACAAACAGAAGAGGCGCAACAAAATAGTTCCATTTGTTTTAACATACAATCCCGCCTATACTAACCTTTCACGTTTGATCCGTGCCAATTGGCAAACTATTGCCAATCACCCAAAATTATCCAAAATCTTTCCCAGTCCTCCTGTCTTAGCCTTTCGGAGACCAACAAGTCTGAAAGACTTATTTGTGAGATCTGACGTCTCCTCTAATAAAAGCTGTTCAACTGCAGGATGGTGCAAGTCGTGTGGTAACAGACGATGTCTGACTTGCCAACAAATACTGAATACTCAAACATTTACTTGCCACTCCACTGGGTCTGTGTACACTATATTTTGTAATGTAACTTGCAAAACACAGAATGTTGTATACCTTCTTC